GGGTTGTTAAATCCCTGCTCCTTTAATCTCCTTACTCAGCTACATCCTCTTTAAGGATGCACAACCGCCGAGGAGAGACGCGGGATATGTCATCTGGGGACTGTTGCTTAGCAAGGCAGGGCAGGACATGCGGGCTTTGAGTTGGGCTAACATTGAGAAAACCAACCTTATGTGGTGGAAAGTTGAAATACAAGCAACCGTCGGTTTCAGGGTCGATAAAACATTCATTAATGTTTAATTTAGGCATTTAAAAATGCAGTTAAAACACTAATGATGTAAATATTTAGTGCATCTGGCTCTCTAGACAAGTGAAAGTAGCAGCAGCCGTTCATGTCTTCACTGTAAAACCAACAAGCATGTGCAGAGAAAGTCGCCAATGCAATCAAAAACCATCCGGACTCTCCACCACACAGCATTGTGGGAAGAAGTACCCATCAGTCATCTCCAAGCTGCGGCTCACAGCACCAACATTTCAATAATGGTGCATCACCTGAGACTCCGGGAGATGAGTGTAATCCACTCAAAAATGGATCACAGCTTGCCCTGCGTGCCACATGCTATTCTGCACGAGGAGACGGCTCTAATGTAGATTTCTGGGTCATCTTTCATCTGCGTGCGTTCCTTGAAGTTTAGCTGCATGGAGTCTGATAACTCCCATAGCAGATTTATGTGGCATCCAGAAGCTTTGTCTATCACTGCGGTTAAGTTGAGCGGGAAAACAATTCCTAAAACCCTTGTTTTTGTTTCCTGCTCCGGTCCTTGACACATATTTTCCACAAATAATGAGCAGGGAGTGTGGGATTTCACATATCTGCACACAACAATTCATCACACCCTTTCATGAACAGCCGATATGTAAATACAGAGCTTAAATTCAACATGTAATTAGTGGGTTAGCAGTACCTGTTTCCCAGAAGTATACAGACTTCCCATCGTCTGTCTGCGAGTGAGCCTTCCAGAAACCACAGAGCAGCAATGTCACCAAAAGGTACCAGCTCCCCCCTGTCCTTTTCCCGGGGGTCCCTCCTGCGCCCCGCCACCCCTGCCCCATGGTCCACCACAGGAGAAAAGTAAATCCACTCAGCTCGAAAGGCCAGCAAGCAGCAGTGATGAAGAACAACCCAAACACACGAGTCCGGGAGGCGACGGGGAAGTGCAGCGGGCTTCGGTTTGAAGGAGAGGGTGTGATGAGGAGTGTGGGCGTGTACAACGGGAGAAATTATTGCGAAGGGTGTGAACGGCGGTCCTGCAGAAGTTGAGCTCCAAAACTTGTGATCTCGTGAAGGACAGAGGCGGTAGTTTCCTCCGCTAACTTGGCGGGATGTTCCCAGAGAGAAGGGGTCAGTGGTGGGGAGCGAGCCGCAGACGGATGGTGCAGCCGTCCTCCTCCATCGTAGCCCGCTGACGCCGGTGCTGCCTCTGTCCTCTGGCTGCGGAGCAGTGACAGCGGATGAGTGTCTGCAGTGTTGTTCGCCTCCCTCCCTTCCCTCTTACTCTCTCTCTTCCTCTCCCATTCGCTCACTTATTCCCCGTGCCACCCTGCATTTCCAATTCCAGTTTTTTCCCTGCCTTTATTCTCCTCCCCTCATCCCTTTTCATTTTCACATTGTTTTTCCACTCTGCATTTCAAACATGCTCCCTTCTTACTTTCTTTTCCTCTTGCTCTCCACCGCATGCAGGATGATACTCCCACTCTTCTGCTGACACTCGGCTTCCCACGTGCGGAGCGTGGAGAGGGTGACTGGGGACCAGCAGGGCTTGCGCTGGTCGGAGAAGCTCCTGCAGAGCAATGCTCCAGGGATCAGAGAGGCAACGAGACAAGATGGGCTTAATGCAGAGCGGGGGAATGTGGATGTGGCTGGGGGAGGGTGGGGTGTGTGGAAACGGGGCAGAGCAACGAGGAGCAGCGAGGGAGACAGAGTGGGGGCTACTGTGCTTGTGAGAAGAGGGTGTGAAAAGAGAAATGATGGGGGAAAGAAAGGTGATAACAAGGACTCATTCATGTTATATTAATATATTCTATTGAACAACTTTAGAGAAATTCAAATGATCTGGAAATGTGTGAATATGAAAATTCAGTAGCTGCATTTTCATTGACCTAATTGGGCAAAATGGAATTAAGACAATAAATAAATTTGTAAAATGTGAAAAAAAATCACATTTTTTAACTAAGATGAGGTGGAAACTGAAATGGAAACACTTTGTTCGCATCACACAAGTTATGTGATCAACAACCAGATGTTATCACTGGCAGAAACAACGACGGCAACAGGAAGTGGTTTTTTATGGACTTATCGCGAGCACAAACTTATTCACTGGCCAATTTTAACTGTATTTCTTATTTAACACTGGAATTGCGTAATTCTTTTTTCAACATAAGTGCAAAGTTTTGCACGCATTTGTAATGGAAACAAAGTTGCTGATTCGATTTTTGAAGTCAAACTAGTCAGAAGATTTTAACTTGTCCCACGTTAAAACTGTAACATTGAATCTGCAAATATCCACCAAACATTCTTCAAGGTAATTACTTTCCATCTTTATCTCGTTCTTTATTGGCCCCCTGTTTTCTATTTTCATGTACATGTGTTTAAGTGTTGAGATAAAAAGGAGAATCAGCAAATATATGCATGTAGATTTGGAGAAACATTGAAAAGGGCAAACTGGTGCATTCACACCAACCCCGTTTAGTCCACTTTAATCAAACTTTGGTCCATTTAATGTCTGGTTCATTTGGGAGGTGTGAATACTCAACAAACACGTATGCAGATCAAATCCATATGTGAACGCCAAGCTTACCGGAGACCGCTCCAGAAGCAGGAGGCAGACTAAATCGCAGGGCATTCTGGGTAAATACAACCAAACAAATATGAGAGATTAACGCTAGCAGGAGAAATGTCTCGTAGTCTTTTACCAAAAACAAAAATCCTACAACACCTAAAATCTGACGCTATTCCTTTTTTAATTTACATTTTGTGATGAAGGAAGTTGCTCTGTGTCTTTGTGTCGTTTCCTTCAGTGGCTCTTGGAGCAGCGCCCCCGCAGGTGAGGAGGGGAACAGGTTTTCAGTTAGTTTAATTCAACAGTGCAGCATGAAAACAAACCTCAACAAAGGCTGCAGTTTTGATCCCCAAACTAACCAAATCTACCAGACTATCAGGTGTGAAAACACACCAACTGACTTTTAAAGGGACATTTTTTGAAGCCAATCTGGGTATTTTAGAAACTGCTGGTCTTTCATTCACAGCAAAATCTCAGGTTTTATGGATTGCTTCAACGACTCGGGTTGATGTGATGGACATCATGTTGACACACTTTGAGAACCTGAGCACTGTTTAAATGCCACAGGCTGTGTATTGTTGTGGTCCATGTCTATCCCTTTATGACCAGACTAAACCCATCATCTGATGGCTGCTTCCAGCCAGGAAACGCATCACGTCAGAGATCAAATCACCTCTAACTGGCTTCTTGAACACAGAGACCCCTGTAGTCCGATAGCCTACAGGGGGATTACTTTTCCTTACTTTTCCTGCGTTTTTGTTTTCTGAATCCCAGATGAGTGTATGCAGACAAAAATCAAGGAAGTTCTGAAGATAAAATCCCAGTAACAGCGAGAACATCGTTCTTTTTTACAGCTCAGACATCTTGAAACTTTGATTCCTTCATTACAAATCTCCACTTTGCTCCACAGTTCTTCAGTTACTTTTTCTACACAAGAAATTTCCCAATGAACTGGTGGATCTCCAGCTCTAATGGTCTGTTGTGAATCCATAGAGCGGTGGGGGTGCAGGAAGAGATAAAAAACACAAAGAGGCTGAGACATGAGGATGGTGGAAGAAATAAACAAACCTTTTGTTTTTGTCTTTTCCATCCAACACCTGAAAACAAAAAGCCAGAAAAAAAACAATGTAAAACTTTCCCTCTAATGTAAGCCACAAAGCTTTGAAGGGGAAAAGCAGAATATTACTGAAAGGTGGCTTGAGTGAAAAAGTAAAACAAAGCATATTTTTAAGTTTCTTCTCATAAATTAACTTTGTTTCTTTGAAGATAACATGGCAACAGCAGATTAATTTTAATTGTTCCAGCAAAGTGTAGCAGTTTAGTTTTAATTTACATGTTTATTTTGTCCAAATAAAAATTAAACATTTTTTGCACTTCAGGATAGAAGCGAGCAAAACTCAAATTTACTGAACACTTTAAATTTATGTGTTTAGGACACAAATGGCACAGTGGCGCAGTTGGTAGAGCTGTCGCCTTGCAGCAAGAAGGTTCTGGGTTCGATTCCCGGCCCCGGTCTTTCTGCATGGAGTTTGCATGTTCTCCCTGTGCATGGTGGGTTTTCTCCAGGTACTCTGGTTTCCTCCCATAGTCTGAAAACATGTCAGGTTAATTGGCCTCTCCAAATTGCCCCTAGGTGTGAGTGTGTGTGTGCATGGTTGAGTGTCTCTGTGTTGCCCTGTGACAGACTGGTGACCTGTCCAGGGTGGATCCGCCTCTCGCCCAGAATGTTAGCTGGAGAGGCACCAGCACCTCCTGACCCCACTGAGGGACAAGGGTGTAAAGAAAATGGATGGATGGATGGATGACACAAATGATAAATTATTGCGTAATTATCATAGCAGCTGTATTATTAACAGAGTTGGAACTGAAAACTGGAGTCAATCTGCATCAACTCTGGTCTGGAGGAAAATAATCTGATAACATGACAGAACGTCATTCTCGTGAGAAGTTCTGTTTTCTCTAAATAGTTTTTTTTTAATTCAAATATTTAACCGGTTTTTCATATACTCTGTTTCCCCAAAAATATCCAACATAGTTCATGGAAACTATGATGAAGATAACACTAATGGATAATAATACATTGAAGAAGCTGCTGTTTCTTGGCCAATCTGTGGATTTTAACCATTTAATTGTTGCTCTTCTTGCCTTTTAAGATATTTTTTTGATCGGTTCACCAGTAACAAAACAGACCCAGTTTAATTTTCCACAGCTGCTCTGTCGTTTTGAATCAATCCAGGATGGGGAGTCCATCCTGCTCAGCTTGTCTGTCCATCACAGCCTTACATCACCTAAACCTACTAAGACGAGGTTTGTCGAGGTCAGAGGTCATGTGAGACCAACATTAATTGTAATACCAACTTCTATTTAAACTGACTTTGCTCACCCTCCACTGGTTATTTGGACATAATGCAGGTTTTTGCATGATATTTTTACACATTACCAGTAATAACATTGGTCCTAAAACATTTTCTACAGATACTGAACAAAAATAGACCAAGTAAAGTAGCTAAGTTACCATGTCACGATATAAAAGATGATCATAGTTTTGGATTTTAACTTTTGGTAAAGGTTGTGCTGGATTTCATATTTATCTCCAAATAACTAATCAGCCAATCACATGACAGAAACTCCTTTTAGAAAGACCCACTGAAAATGAAAAGGGCTCGTTATTGCAGGTAGATCAGCTTGAGATGATTGAAAACCACACCAGGGTTGTGTAATTTCGTTAGTTCTACGACATTTATCGATATTTTTTTCATCAGAAAGTATCGATTTTTCATCTGCGAGTATCGATACATTAAATCCTACTTTGAGTTTTATGTAAATCCACATTAATTAAATGACAGCTATCACACATGGCATTTTTACCCAGTGTACATTAAAAATGACATGTAGTGAAATAACCAGTTACAATTAATCAAATAATTCAACGAAATAGATAAATTATCTAATATAAGTGAATAAGACATAAAAGGTTCCTTTTCTGCATAACCAAATACACAAAGCCACACAAATAACATTTAAACTGAGCAAATGTATAACAAAAAGAACATTCATTACACCAGTATTACATAATCAGTTGATTTTTGTGGCGTTACATTCTGGAGGATTTTGAAATGGGTCATTTTCCAAACACTAAAAAACACATTAATTTATTACCAAAAACTGCCTGGGGAGTTTTTTTTTAAGTGCTTGGGCTGATTTTCGAAGGAGTAGAAACCTAAATGGACATACAAAATGTGAATTTTGCATTATACGTTCCCTTTAATGCTTATTGAACACTGAACTATTCGTCCTGAAAATTGCATTTTGGATCGGCTACGTTAGTTTCATCCTTCTTGTAGCAGTTCTTTGTACTTCTACAACTTCTAAAAGGTAATTTAATTACATATTTTGCTGTATTATGCACTTTGTAGAGAATTTAACAGTCAGTGTTGGCGTACCTGTCAGTGTAATACATGGACTAACAATAGAAATTACAACAACCCACAGGATGTGTGTAGGCGGTGAGGAGGTAGAATTATTTGTCTGAGTTAATGTTCTTCTGTCTCGGCAGAGAGACGAGGCTCTGTGAGGACGCCGAGCTCCAACTCTGGCACACTCAGCTCATCATGGATACTTTTAACTCAACTCCATTTGGATGTGGCAGCTGGAGCCATTGAAAAATCTAGTTAGTGGCAGTTACATTAAAGATCTGGCTGTGAAACAACTGCATTGGAATGGATCAATAAAACTGAAAAACGTGGCTACGAGCACTCATTGATTTTTGAAGTCTGTATAAACAGCATTTCTGATGGATTTCCAACTAGGGGCAGGCTTCATCTACCTAAATTTCTGTGTCGTCATGTAGATTTATTTTCAAGAAAATGTCAGGAATTACATCTAAATTCCCAACCAAAGCACTTCTAACAACACTAGCCATGTTTTCATGGACCATATTAGTGCACAATTTGACATTTTGGAAATGAATTTGTTCAACGGAAACAGGCCAATTTTGAGAAAAATTCTTGTTTTCCAATAAATATCGTTTGCGCTACGAAGAAGTGTTTTTTTCCACATCAGCAGAATATTAACAAAGTTTAGCGCTATTATTGATTTTAGCTGTCAAGTTGCCAACATAACACCCTAAATTGTCAATGAACATGTGCTATATAAAAGAAAAAGGGACACAATCCTTAGCTACTAATTGTCAACATTATGACAACCAGACAACAAAATCCAAGGGTATCATGTTTCAGGAAAAGGTTTTAATTAAAAACTAAATAGCAAGGGAGAGGAAAGTAGATCAGTTATGCTAGCTTGACTATGACAACCTTAATATGTAGCTGTGCTGTGGAATTTGTTGTGTTTTGCTCCGCACTAACTCTGATAGATCATCAGCAGAGCAGGTGTTTAAACTAGCTGATCTAATACCGCTGCGTTCAGACAAACTCTTACTAATAATCACTAAATCACACAACAATAATCAAGCCTGAAAGCAAATAACAGAGTGAGTGATCTGTTGTTTGTGAGGGAAATGTCTTTTGGTGTTAAATCCTGATACAGAGCTGTTGTCAGCTGGTTGCTATAGCAACGGGTCTGTGTATAGCGTAACCGATGCAGAGAGCCTGAAAAAAGTTGAATACGAGTGATTTTCAGTGTTATTTTCCCTTTACTGTTGCACACTCTACTAAATTAATAACACCTACATCTCCATGTTTAATTTTGTTAACATGATTGTTGTACAGGCAAGTTAAAAGTGTTTTTGCCCTCCAGAGTTGTGTGAATGCACTAAATCTCCTGCTGCAAACAATAACCTACGTCTCTGTAAAGAATTCATCCTTCAAATACTTTTATTCTGATCTTATCTTATGGACCCAAATGCAATATTGGGAAGGTTCCAGAGTACGCAAAACTTTCTTTTTTATAGAGGTTATGTGAGCACATAGCAAGCCATCACAACCAAATCTCCTCCTCTCAGCTAAAGAATCAAAATCCTGACGAATCCTGCTCTGCCACAAAGGCTGCAGCAGAAAGGTCACTCATGTGTTTGTCACTCAGAAAACCTCGACAGCTTAACAATAGTGCAGGAAGCGCCAGCCGATGATGTACTGTTTGGATGTCTCCCTTTTTTGCTATGAAATGTCAGCTGTGAGCAGCGAACTGCAGTTGGGCAGATGGAGCATCAGATGGGAGAGACGTGTGTGTGTGGAGCCGGCAGGGTGCAAACTTATAATCAGCTGCCACCAAAATACTGGCAGAGAAATTTATCAGCTGATGACAAACTGCTCTGCAAATCAGATCTGCAACTGATCAGATTACGAAGAGAGCATCTCTCAGTTTGCAAATGTGCAATCAGGGAAGTCCTGAAAAGAGCAATTACTGTCTGTAGTGGGCATTGAAACCGGTTCAACAAAGTCATTACATAGTGAAACCAGACAACTCATTCATGTTGCATCACAGTCAACATTTCACATCAATGAGCAGCGAAGGACAGGTGTTACTTTAGATAAATGTCTGCTTGGAGCAAGGTCTTCCTTTAAACGATCAAAGAACTGTCCCATCTATCTTTGCCGGCTGAAAACCGAAACTTAAAGACTGATGCAAAACGTTTATGCTTCACTACAATGTGCAACAATATTAGCCATGAAACCCAGCCTGTGTTTGTGCTTAGTACAGTTTTCACAAGGTCAACAGAGAGAAGAAACTAACAAGCAGACTGGGGCCATTTAGCTTTAAGACTACAAGACGAAGCACTCGACCGATAATGAGAGCAGTGCATATTGTAGCTGGCATAACAAAAGCAGGGGAGGCTGCGAGTGGACGCATTCTCCTTAACCTGCTAATTTACAGCAGGACTGAAAGCAGGACGCAGAGATCAATCCTCATAGATGTAAGCAATTTAGATTAACAAGTCAAACTCGTGTCCTTGCCCAGTGCTTGAACAGAAGCCAGCTGAACGTCGGTGGTTGGTTCTTGAAGATGCTTTCACCTGATGCTGGAGGATTCTTACAGAGAATGCTAAACATGGAAATGTGCTGTTTAAGCAGTTTATCTTGGCAAAACATTCAACTTAGATTCTATGTAGTAACTATAAGGTTCGATGTAATTACATAGATTTGATTGTCCTGGGTCATTTACATTTTAACCAAAGTGATCTCAAATGGGTTTTGTAGAAATCTCACAGCAGTCGACTGCCGTCTCTTCACGGTTCTTTAATCAAACATTTTTCTGCAGCACAAAACTTCAAAACATTCATGAAAAATTTGCCAACTCATCCATTTTGTTTTGTAGAGAATACCTGATCTATTTAAAAGAAAATGCACCTGAAGTACCTACTTACTGGCTGACATTTGCAGAGCAGCCAATCCAGGAGCGCCAATCATTTTCCTTACCACTGATTGGCTGAATGTTCATATCTGTGTTCGTGTTGTTTCCACTGCTAGTGGGTACTGAGGTACCTTTGGTGTTTGAATTATTAAAACGGGCAGGTAAATGTGTTTTTAGATGGGCTCTCAAGTATTTCAGCAGTTTGCAGGCGGTTACTGGGAGTCCACTATTTAATTTAACTTTTCCAGTTAAATTAAATAGCATAAACTGCTATAGTTCAGGATAAGTCTGCTCTTCTCACCAGTGGAAGCAGTTTGGAAATAATTGGGCTTGATTTCATCTCAGAGTTCAACAGGAAGTTGGATTTGGGGAAAACCATGGACCAGGTATTTTTAAATCATATTTAATTTGCAATTAACTTTATAGAAGGAAATAATACCAGGATTTTCCTGAATTTTAGCAAATAGTTGGGAAAATTCAATGGAAACACAACTGGGCTGAAGAATACATTTCACTATTATAACCTTGAAAAGCAATGGTAAAGACCCACTGCCTATAATAAACACTGAATGTCTTTCCAGAGAGTTGCTTCTTGGTAGTACGTCACTTAAACCATGAAAAGAACAAACAGTTATTTAAATAGAAAAACAAGCAATAACAAACTACATTAATAAGGGATTAAAACTGTGATGCATAATGAAAATCTCAGTGACTCCCTTTGAAAAGCAAAGGTGTTGCTTTTTGAAAATCACGTTACTCATAATACTCAGCGTTGACTGAAGCTTTTCCAGTTTCTCCTGTTTGCATCAGATTCATTTTTAGATGCTCTAAAATAACCTCAGGTTTGATTTACATGTTTCCCGCTTCTTATCTGGTAATTGAGAGAATGTGGTTTTATAAATTCCTCCACATCCTCAGTATATATGGCAGTGTGACTGGTTGCTCAATCTGCTGACAATGTGTGTTTTCTGTGCTGCTCACCCTTGCG